TTGTTATATACTGAGTATACATTGTCGACGACTACAACTACGGCTAGGCGGATAATTTTTTGTTTAACCGACTAATTGAAGTATGTTTTAATACATAGATGATGATAGTTCAAGTAGAAAAAAGGAGCAATTGATAGTTGAGGTGTGGAATTCATGAAAAACGATAGTTCAAATGCGTTTTTGACCATTAAATGTATATCTTAATTCTTAAGACATAAAATGAGGGTAAAATAGTCAAAATCCCTCTTATTTAATGTTTTCATAAAAGACGTGTAAAAGAAAAATACGACATAATTTGAAACAGAGGGAGTAACTACCTGTAAAATGTAAAGGCAGAAGGTGCCAATGCCTATCCATGAATGAAAGCTATACAAGTTTCTCAAACCCCTTCTTTCATGGTACTTGAATGCAGCATGTAATCCAACAATTCCCAGAATAATTGCACATAAATGAAGTAAAAAATGTGCAATTTTTTGTACTTTCTTCTCTGCTCTCACTGTCATGTATGCCATAAGTGCTGTACATAAAAAATAATTAAAAAAAATAAATGAAGTAATTAAAAAAAAGTTATTTATTATGCATGTACTTATGTTCTAATATATGTATCATACTCCAATTTGATTAATCGACCTGAGTTTAAGAAAGTAATGAAGAACTTTGATATTTGTGGTTCTGAAAATGATTATTTGTGTGTGATCTATAACGATTTTTTGGAACTTGTGAGTTGTGACATTAAACATGTTATAACATTTGTGTAATTATAAGATTAAACTTGTCATTAAGTGTGAAATGAGAAGCGTAAAATTAGTTATTTTAAAATTTAGAAATAGTTATTAAATTTGAAAATGATCTTCTAATTTTACCTTCAAGAGAAGATCTTATTATAGAAACATAAACTCGTATGTTTGAAAGTTTCAAAAAAAAAATTCTCTTAAAACTTCGTACCTATAAAAACTTTGTTACATAAATTGAATCGAAAAGATTAATAGTTACAACGTAATTGTTCATACACTATTTTCTACGACTTACCTATTTTGAAATGAGTTTTACTTGCACATTTTCCGTCAATATTTAAATTTTTTTAATTATTACATATTAAATATATCGATAGTGGATACCTTGACCAGACAAGAAAACCAATCCCAAGAACATCAAGAGTGGGTGGACCTGCAGAAAGTTACAATAACATTTAACAATAAAGTCTAATTAAGACATTTAATTAAACATTAAATTTCAATTAATTAAAATCAAGGTATATATATATATATATTGACTATAGTATATACTTACATTTTTTTTACAAAGGGAATTGCAAGGTGGGGGAATTGAACTCTCATAATCAACAAGGTAAACGTTCAGGTAATTAACTAACTAGGCTACTAAAATTTTCTTAGTATATACTCACATTAAAAATCTTATTAGGATCGTATGAATCGAGATCAACGCCTTCACGATAATGCAACAACCAAACAAGCATAAGAATCGCAGCTATAACGCCAAAAATGTAAGCAAAAATTGTTATCCTTGAAGCTGGTCGATAGTATCGGTGCGTTACAATGGTATCCATGGCTTCTAATTAGAGGAAAAAGAATAAATTAACAAATGGTATTATGGATGAAGAAGAAAGAAGAGAAAAAATTTAGTTAGATTTTTGTTGTGTATTTTTTTTTTTAGTTTGATATTTTTAGTGTATGATTTGATCACTATATATATAGAAAGCCTGCATATAAATATACTTTGTTAAAGGGTTTTAATTTGCTTCTTATGAAAGTTTGGTATTTATTTCTTTTTAACTTTGTGCATTGGCAAGGCATAAGAGAAAAGACAAAGCCATCACTTGTAGGCCTATTTTTTTTTTAATTATAATAAACAACTTTAATATTATAGGGAAGGGACCCAAAAAAATAATCATTTTGCTTATAATATATGTTTTTTTCTCTTTTTATGTTTTCATTTTCTTTTGTTTTAATTTAATTTCTCACTTCTTTTCTTCTCCTCTTATGTTAATCTTTTGTAATATATATCTTCGAAATGTTTTATGATCAGTAGCGTACACAATTTTTTTATATAGCATACAAAAAAATCGTGTATATTGATTTTGTTATTCCTTAATATCTATCTACTCAAAACATTTCGTTGAAGTATTATTTTATGACATCGCTTGAGACAAGGTACACAAATTTATTACAATATATAATATTTATTTGTTTGTTGAAACTGATTGAGTCAAGGTAAATCCACCATAGTTTGTGAAGAATCTTGTTTAAACATTTATAATTAAAAATTCTCTTTAATTAATGAATTAAAAAGTTGAACTGACAAGCTAACCAAAAAGTTTAAGTACGAGAGAACTATAGGGAATAAAAGCTAATTAATGTAAAAGAAGAATATGTAAGACAAAAGTATCTGTCACATATATATGAGATTAATCTTTTGTTTTTTCTGTTTTTCGTTTTTTATTGATCTTTTGATTCGAATCGTTATAAAGGTGACTCTATATCTACTAGAGATTGAATTCAAAATCTTTAATTAATAATAAATAAGTTCTTACTATTCTATCACAATTCAAAACCTCTGTTGAAACATTCTTGGCGAGGATTAATATATTTATGACAACGTGAATTTATAAGTGCTCCCATATGAATATTACAACAAAAGAAGAAGTTCGATTACAACTAATATTTTGGTGAATGATTATAGACGATAGACGATAGTCTAATCTTTTGTCTGTATTTAAGCAATATATAAGCAAATATTTTTTTCAAAAAAGAAGGCCGAACATTAACCTTTGAGTGTAACGTTATTTAAAAGAGTAATTTTCTAAGACATATTCTTACAACTTCTAAAAATAGGGACAAAATCAAACGACAACCTAAAAGAGGGACATTTGAGTAAATCAATCCTTGCAACAATCTCTAACATGATTATTTTTTAAAATTTTAAAAATATATATTTATTATAGTTAGAAGCTACACTCTTTGTTTTAATTTATTTGTCTTTTTTTTAGTTCGTCAAAGAAAATGAAAATATTTTGATACATTCTATTCTATGTATCTTTAATTTAAACCCACAAAATTCTTTAATTTCTTAAATATCATATTAACTCAAAACCAGATAAATAAATTAAAATTGAAGAATTTTCGTAAAGTATGCGTGTTAGGTTCGCGTACAAGCAGCGTAATTATATATTTACCTGAAAAACGAGTACGCGTAAACAAAACAATAAACCCAAAAAAGAAAAATAAAATAAAATTAGTGCAGTTTAGTCCTTTTATCTTTTATGTTTGACAAATAACCTCTCTAATTTTTGTAGACTTATGTTATAACCCCTTCAACTTGTCGATTGAATTGGAAACATTGAGATTATATGAAAGTTAATTATTTTAACGTATGGATTGCCAGAATTGGAGTTAGGATTTGAGGTTTATGATTTTTCTTAATTCAAATCTTTTCAAGTTGTTCAAAATTAATAATTCATACATATTTAATAAATTTTAAAGATAAATATAAGATTTGAACCAAAGCTACTGAATTCAGTCAAATCAGCAGTCAAGGTACAACCTAGCTCCGCCCTTGTGGATAGCCTAACTATTACATTATATCAAAGATAAGCCTCAAATACTCCTCTTTTATAAAAAAATCTTTCAATCTTGAAAATTGAAAAAAAAAATCATGTTTAAAAGAAGAAGTTTTCCTCTTCTAAACTAGTGCAAAAAAAAAAAAAACTATAAATATAAATGAGTTATATTAAAATAAACATGATGAAAAGGATTCACGAAATACTGATGATTAAGAGCCAGAAAATCATAAGTTGGACAAACAATATACGTATAACTAGATGTATATCATAGTTTTGAGCTCATAAACAGGATTGATGAAATTAATTATATAAGAAAATTCATACATACAATAAATACTTTGGAAATAAAGATGGACTGATATGTAATAAACAAAACTTATAGGGAAGAAAATGTAGTTATCCCAAATAAATAAAAATTGATCAAACAATAAACGTTAGTATTACTTCTCAAATCTTAGTCGGGTCACACCGACCCCGTCTTTTGACGGATTTGTTTATTCTCATTGTCTTGTCAAAAATCAAACTCATTGATTTTTTTTTTCTTCTTTTTCTTTTGATTTTCGTTATACGTTTTGATATCTTGACTAATTCAGATTTGTATTGTGTAATACTTATTAAAAGTAAGGTAATGTTCCTTATTAGGAAATATTTTATTCACATGGTTCAAACTTCAAACGCGAAATATCTGGTTAAGTGCGAGACGTACAAAAGCGGACAGAAGAGAATTCAAGATTCAAAATTTATGAATTTTTATAACGACCTCGAATAAATATACATTTACAATCAAATATTTATAGATATTTAGTGAATTTCTTACTTTCTCTATATTGAGCATAGAGAATAAAGTATAAAAGGAAAATGTTTAAATTTGACAAAAAAACTATTAAATTCATGTGAACCTGTAATATTTATACTAATTTTGCCCTAGGGGTTGAAGTGGTTCATTCGGACTCCCTTCATTTGACTCTTTTTTTCTTTTGGAAAACTAATAAATGATGAACCTCTCGAGAATAATCTATCGCTACCATTATATAAAGAAATTTTATTCATCTCATCACAACAGTGATCGGTTGTTATTTTAATCTTTTTTTGAAGGAAAAAAAATTCCTATTCCAAACTCCACGGTCTAAGCCCACCTTCTTGGTCACCATTTTTTGGGTTCACTTTTACCAAGTCAAATCTTTCATATTATATGGTCAATATTCAAGGTCCCCCCCCCCCCCCCCCACAAACCCCTAACACGTTCTTGAACGTTTTTATTATTATTGGACTAACTAATTTAAATAAACTTCAAAGTTTGAATTGAACCGCGTGATACATTCCATATTAAATCACCACTTATATTACATATATATATATATATATATAACGCATCAACATACTTGAGTCCTATCCCTAACAAAACCAAATAACCAATAAAAAAACATAATTTCTTTTCAAAATTCTAGTAAATTTTAAGTTTTTTGGGGGTTCGTTAGCTTGTATTTGTTTAGTCCTTCAGATAGTGACTTGCGTAGAGATGATTGCAACATGGAGAAAAAAGAGAACAGAGAAAAGGGTAACAAAGAGAGGATTTATGAAGAAAACAATCAAGGAGTTAGTGATACCAATCCAATTTACATGTCCAATTTCATTAGATTTAATGAAAGATCCAGTGACTTTATCGACAGGGATTACATATGATCGAGAAAACATCGAAAAATGGATTAATGAAGGTGGAAATCAAACATGTCCCATCACAAATCAACACTTGAAGTCATATGGAAGTGGCATTAGTACTATTGATCCTGTTTTGATTCCAAATCACAACATTCGAAAAATGATTCAACAATGGTGTGTTGAAAATAAGGAACATGGGATTGATAGGATTCCAACTCCAAGAATCCCCATTTCATCGTCTGATGTCTCTGAATTACTCGCGAAAATAACTAATTCGAGCAAGTTAGAGATGCAAGACTCAAGATTATGCGAAGAATTAGTCACTAGAGTGAAGAATTTAGCTAGTGAAAGTGATCGAAACAAATGTTGTTTCGTCACTAATGGCATAGGAAAGGTGTTATCATCAGCATTTCTTGAACTATCAAAGGGAAAAAACGCGAAAAATGCTTCAACAGAGGAAGTGATCTTGTCAACTTTGACACTTTTTTTGCCTTTGGATGTTAAGTCCAAGACAATTCTTGGGTCGATTTCATCGTTACGTTGCATAGCATGGTTCTTGAAGAATGGGAGTTTATCAAGTAGGAGGAATGCAGTTCTTGTCCTTAGAGATATCATGAAAATGGAAGAACAAGAAAAGGTTGAAATCTTGTTGAATATTGAAGGTGCTTTAGAAGGGCTAGTGAAGTTAGTAAAAGAGCCAATTTGTCCTAATACTACAAAAGCTTCTTTATTAACAATTTATCATATGGTTAATAATTCATCATCCCAATCATCAAGATCAAGATTTGTTGATGTGGGGTTAGTTGAATTGTTGATAGAATTACTTGTGGATTGTGACAAAAGCATATGTGAAAAGGCATTAGGTGTTTTGGATGGGATATTGAGCTATGAAGAAGGGGTGAAAAGGGCTTATAATTATGCACTTAGTGTGCCTGTTTTGGTGAAGAAATTGTTGAGAGTTTCAGATTTGGCTACTGAATTTTCAGTTTCAATTTTGTGGAAGATATGCAAGAATGAAAATAATGGAGATTGTGGTGTTTTTGTTGAAGCACTTCAAGTTGGTGCATTTCAAAAGCTTTTGTTAATGCTACAAATTGGTTGTAGTGAAATAACAAAAGAGAAAGCTAGTGAATTGTTGAAGTTGTTGAATGTGCATAGGGATAGAGCAGAGTGTGTTGATTCTTTGGACTTCAAGAGTCTCAAAAGGACATTTTGAAACGATGTCGGAGACAGAATTTACATCGAGAGAGTTCAATATCTAGTATGATTTTTTCGATGGAGGGGATTCAGATGAACCCCTTTCCGCCCCTGCTTGTTATGACTATTACTATACATGATTCATTTTTCATTGTATACAAGTAAATCCAAGAATAAGGAAAAATATATAGTTCATAGTAGACTTTTTTTTTATCATCATTCTATATACATATGCCGATAAATTAAGATGTCATATAAATTTATGTATTAAGTATCTGTATGGAGGGGTCTTCACCTCCATGTGTTGTGTGTAATTGCCATAGATTTGATGTGAGGTTTGTACTTTTGAAACTATAGTGAGTATAAAGGAATAAGTTTTATATTTGGGGTAGGTCCAAAATGGTTTCTTTAAATATATTTTTGAGCAGTTCTGGTCATTTATATTTGCAAAAGATGAGAAAACATATAGTTACACGAAATTCTAAAAATAGATGAAAAGTATCAACACCTCAAAAATTGCACACTCTAGAATTAACCAAAATAGCATAAATTAAATCCATTTTATTTCACATTTGTTGCTAAACCTAACAAGTAAGATTAGTTAAGCATTTGAAGGAGATCAAAAATGCTAAATTTGACTAATTTAAAGGATCAAAATTGTTTTGAAATAAATTAAAAGGACGATTTTGAACATGTTAAATAGACGAAATACATGCCATTATGAGTTTGATAAAGATTAGGGACTTCACATAAAAAATAATAATTAAATGAGGTAATCCTCAAAAAGAAAATAAAAAAAGAATGGAGTATAATAAAGATGACTTAGAAAAGTCTTGAGTCAATTTTCCCTACCTACAACAGCCTAAAATAAATTGAACTAGCAAAACTTTAGTCTAAAGTAATTAAGGTTTGATCAAGAATTAATAAATTTCAACAAGAATTTCTCTGTTCCCCAAGAGGGACCAAATCAATGAAATAAAAAAAAAATGGTGGTGGCTTACCCTAGTTGATATATTTTGCTGACTGACAATTCGAATTACTCCTCTTTTTCTTTTTCTTGTCCAAGAAGTAAATACTTCATCCATCTCATTTTATTTGATATTATTTGACTGAGCATAAAATTTTAAAAAGAAATATATTTTTTTAAAACTTATAGAATCTATCTGGTACGAAGAAAAAAAAATTCCAGAAAAATAAATGAACTTCTTACTTATTTAGTCTTATTAATTATACGTCTAAGTCTTTGCCCACTGATAGTTGGAGGTAGAACTAATACTAGTGCATGTAAGTGTCTTGCAAATAGAAGTTTCAAATCCCAAGTTATAGGAATAACCATTGAAAGAAGGAAAAAATCAAGTCAATGGTCGTAAATCAACTCATCAAATATAAAAAAAAAAAAGTTTAAAGTAACTCATTAAATATAAAATAAAAAGTTTAAAGTTAAATTATTCTGATATTTTTTTTGTACAATGAACACAAAGTTGGATAACCACCTATGAAATTTACTCTACGTTAGTCATATTCATATTCCTATATCAAAGGACAAGACGAGTACTTTTCCCTTTTCTTTATTATCATTGTAAAAAACTATAGTAATTTCATAGTGGTCTAGATGGTACAATGAAAATGAACATAATATATTATAATTATAATATAATATAATGGATGGGTTGTCATATGGTACTATATAATTTATTTATTTTTTAAAAAAAAACAGATATGAAGTTACAAAGTTCATGGAGAATGTCAATCTTTTCTTGAACTATCTTGTAAGCGTCGAAATTCAAATGTCATATACTTCATATTTAAACTAAAAAACTAAAGTATATGCCACAACTCATTTCATTATTCCTTAGGTTTGGCCTAGGCGCAATGATTAGTTAAATACTCTTCATCGAAAAATTATAGTGATATATAGAAAATTAAATTGTATATATAAGTATAAAAAAAATACTTTCATATGTATATATTAAATCTTGAACATTCTTAGTGAAATTCTTGATTTCGTAAAATGATTGTCTAAGGGGAGTCAATTGACACCTCTTTGTTAATAAATTACAAAGCAAACAATGTTTTTAACTATATGTTGATGCCTTGGCTTCTTTAAATTTTGAATTTTCTCAGTGAAAACTCTAGCTCTATCCCGACTCACGAGGCTCCGTCGTTGAATTCTATAACCTCAAACATAAGTACTCCTTAATATAGTTTCCCCTCATCCCCTTTCTATTCAAATCATGCATAGAAGAATCAAGAAAGTATTCACTTCCCTTAGGGAGCACACATGTGTTAGCTATGCAAAATTTGCAACCATTGGAGGCTTTTGTGACCTTGATCACATTGTTGTCAAAGCCACTTCCCCTGATGACACACCATTGCCTGATCGATATGTACTCGAAATCCTCCAAATATTTTCCATTTGTCCGTCTTCTTTTGGTCCATTCGCGTTGTCTTTTAGTCAACGTTTTGCCAACACACGATGCTGGAGAGTCGCGTTGAAATGCCTCCACCTCCTCCATCGGCTCCTTAAGGCATTGCCTCACACTAGCCCTTTTCGCGAAGAACTCATGTTGGCAAGATCAAATGGTTTGATCTCTCTCTACCCTTGTAACTTCAAGGATAGGTCTTCCTCTGCCTCTCAAGATTACACCTATTTCATTTGGTCATATGCACGTTTGCTCGATGAATCCCTCGATTGTTGTGCCACTCAAGGAAAAGAAATCGACGAATATCACACTACTAGTCATGAAAACTTTATTGACAAGATGGATGAAGTAAGGCTAATGTTAGAATTCTTGCCTCAGTTACAAAGCCTAATAGACAGAGTCATGGACTGCAGGCCAATAACAGGGCAAGCAACGCGTAACATTATAGTTCAATCTGTCATGAAACATGTAATTCGCGATAGCTTCACGTGTTACACTACTTTCAGGAAAGAGATTGTTGAGATACTAGATCATCTCATACAATTGCCATACACAAACTGTACTGCAGCATTTGAGATTTACAAGAAAGCAGCTAAACAAGCAAATGAACTTAGTGAGTTTTATGATTGGTGCAAGTCTTTAGGACTCTGTGGCATGTATGAGTGTCCATTCATTGACAAAATCCCACAAATCCAAATCATAGCTCTTGAGAACTTCCTTAATGGAATGTGGCAATCGACAGATGATCCGTCCTCTTCAACGTCTGTTTCCCCTCTAACATCAACCGAAGATAGCAACGATTGTAAACAGAAACAGACTATGACGTTGCTTGGACCCTCTAAAAATGTTGTTGCATCCGTGTCAGATACTCCAAAAATGCATAGCAACATTGATGATACTGAAGAGTCCGAGCAACATAGGAAACAGAAGAGGCAATCAAGATTTGATAGTGAAATGCAACCTTTGATACAACTTGAAGATGACAATCAAGATTGGGAGACTCTTTTGGATGCTTCTGTTTCATTTCAAAGCATAGCTTCAAGAAATAATTTTTACCTACAAAACAATGGATGGGAAATACAAGTGTATCAGCCAAATAGTGGAATATATCCAACTAACTCCATCTATCATTGAAGTTGATTTCTCATATGATCGCTCAATTAACACTTCTCGTGTTTCAATTTGTTTATCTATTTTACTTTTTAGTCTGTTTCATAAAGAATGCACTAACTTTTCACATGACATGTTTAAGACCATGAAATTAAAGATCATTTGGTACATTTTATGTATCTTTAGCTGAAAGACAACAAGATTTCAAAAATCTGTTTTACTTTCATAAACCTTGTGTCAAGTCAAAATCAAACAAACAAATTGAAAAATAGAAGATTTTTAATTTTGTTTGACCGTATAAATTTATGTGTCGTAATCCCAAACTTAACAAAATAATTAAAAAAACTTAATTCATATCTCATCTTCTACTTTATCAAAGTTTATATTCCCCTTTTACAAATTACAAAACTCATTCTCTATAAAAGCAAAACTAATTTGGATCTCACAGTGATTAACCGTTGCTTCACTATAGACCTTCAGCTCAACGGAGAAACTATCGACGGCGAAGAGCGCCGCCGTGCCGTTATTGATTAACTGCTCAATTGTACCCACCGCCGTTAAGTCTCTCCGTTACTCCACCGGGTTTCTTCTTTCTCCGGTAATATCTCTAGTTTGATTTGAATTGGTATTCTGTTTTTTTTATTTATGATGAATATATAATATATGTAATTGAGGTATGTATAGTTGTTAATTTCCTCTGTGAACGTGAAATTATTCCCAATTTATGCGGAAGAAGTATGGGAGAGAGGTGATTAGACACGGCATGGTGCAATTTCAGTTTCCATGACCTTATATTGGAGGTTACGGAGGATATGGATTAGGATAGAGGATTAACAGTTTGTTGAGCATTGTTTCGTATTTATTTACATACTAGTAGTATTACTATTATAGTTTCTAGTCCTTTGATTTCTGCTACTATCTGTTGTATTTTGTATTTTGATTATGCACTTTACTTATTTCTTTTTTCGAATGGCTTTGAATTGATTTTCCTTGAGCTAAGGTCTATTGAAAGCAACCTATACCTCCCAAAGTATGGTTTGGTCTGCGTACATTCTATCCTCCTCCTCAGACCCATTCGTGGGACTACATTGGGTATGTTGTTGTTTGTTGTTGTTGTAGTGTTCAATAAAGTGGGAGGAGGTTCTATGAGGTCTTAGGTTCAAATCTCACTGGAGCTTACAAAACTGCGGATGATTTCTTATCATTATTCGATACTTGTGCTGGTAGGAGTTAACCTTGCTGGGAAGAATGAAGGTAGCAGGTACCCAATATAGTCTAGGTGCATGAGTTAGTCCAGAACATCACCCTCGTAAAAAAGAAGTGTGCTATTTTAGAAGGTACAGAGTTTATGAAATTAGTTTGACTTATATATTATATAAGTAAGGGTGAGAAACAAATGTTGAAGTAATGGTTGAAAGAATAGTTTGAATAGAAAAAGAGAACATACTTGAAAGTTATAAAAATCATCGTCATCGACCATCATATGTAT